TCTATCTATCTCTATAATCACTTGCAATTAAGTTATTACATTGTATCTAATATCTTGGAGGTAGTCCATGCTCATTAAGTTATATATGTATTATTCACCTCCCCAAGGCTTTTTGAGGGGGCTAGCGGAATCCTGAGGTTGTGAGTTTGAAACTCTCTCCCACAGACTGCAACTCTGGGTCTCTGAGCAAGACCCTTAACACCTGATTTTCCATGATGTCTGCCGAGTGGCAGCCCACTGCTCCCCAAAAGGGGATGGGTTAAATGCAGAGTTAATTTCTCCATTGTGACATCAATAAAGTTTTTTTTCTTTTTCTTTTTTTTCTTATTCTTATGTATTGGAGGTAGTCCATGCACAATAGGTTAGATTTGTATGATTTTAAATCACCTCAATCTCCCAATACTTTTTGATTTCTTAGAACTGTTAAAACAATATTTATGCACATAGTTTGGAGAACCTAGTTTAATAGAAAGTAAAGTTATGTTAAATGCTTTGCAATGCAGCTTTTATCTGCATTACATAAGCTGATGTCACAGTATTACTCTAGAAACTACACATATGACATCTTTTTATAATTTTAAAAGACAACAAATACAAAATTTAGCAAAAGCAACTGAGCTGAAAAAACCCCAGTGACCCACAATAATTAGAGGTTGAATGGGGGGTGAAGTCTATGGTTTATGGAGGTGGGAAAGGTGGAGGAAGGGGTTGATTCATGAGAGAAACTTAGTGGGGGGAAGGGTCCAAGCTGGGTTAAATGTCTAGGGTTGTGGGGGGGTATTTAGTCAGCCAATCAGGGGCTTTTGGTGGACATGCTGGACAGGGATTGTCCTCCCTTGTTTCCCTCCCGCTGTCCTATTGAAGAGAAAGTTTTCAGCAGTAAGAGAAGGAGCACAAAAAGGGCTGACAGGATGCAAAGCTTCATTTCCACGGTGCTGAAACAGATGTGTGGAGTAATCTGCCGTGGCAGTATGATAAAACACGCATTCTGAGAACCCAGGGGCTTAAAGGGGCAACTAAAGTGCAGAGGAGTCACACTCTTATATTCTACAAAAGGAAAATAACCTTGACCAATTGTTGTCTTAAAATGAAAATAAGACTAGTGAATAACTTACATTTTTTAAAGAATTTTTTTTTTTTTTTTCCCAAGCAGGGGAAAAATGCAGGAGCATTTTCCAGCAACTAAACATTACTGGAAGATGTTTCTTTACATTCAGTTGAATTATATAAATATTTTTTATTTTATAAAACAAATATTTTTTCTGAATGTTACCTTTACCCATAGTTAGTCTGATTATTATTATTCTTAGCAACTTAAAAGCAAAGCATAGTTAAGTTTTTATTTCATGCTTGCAGTTCTAAGAAACATGTCTTTGAAATATTTGTTTTGTAAATTATATTTAAAATGTCTCTTCTATGTTAATTAAACAAAACCTGCTTAGTGACAGACCTATTCTGCATCTTCTGGGTTTTTTTTTTTTTTAGCTTCTTGCTGAATTTTTTAGTCAAAGTAAATATTAGTAAAAAGAGAAGTGGGTAGTCTATTCAGGGACAGAAGGTTCATTATTTTGTGCGCGCTCCTCTGTTGCAGCCTAGACAGAGAACAAAACTTTCTTAGACTAAGGTAATGGCTTCAGGCTGGGTTAATGTGCTGAGTGAATGGGATCTCCTTGGAGCTCAATAGGGTCCCATACTTTTACTCCATTATACTCAAAACCTAAAGGCCAGAGGCCATCAACCCCCCTGGAGTGTTTCTTTCTTAAGTTTGCACCCCCCCCATTCCACATCCCCCACACTATTCAGACATGCATGCACATATTTAAGGATTTCTGGTGTGCTCTGTTTCATTGATGACACAAGTTGTCAATAACAGACTTCCTGTAAGGTGAAGGCATTGAGAACAGGTTCCTGCAGCAATATTTAGGCTTTGGCCTTTTCTTTGTAATGGTCATTACAACCACAAAGTTCCATGCATTATATTGGGATCTCTTTGTAGTACACCAACACAAGGTATAACTAATCATTAAGTGGAACAATGGCAATGCATGTTATGTTTAGATATAAATAAAAAATAGAAATTCATTTATAGATGTATTTGTTTACTATATTTAATCCCTTAGAGCTCTATTTTGAAGAACCTATTATGGGTTTTTTTGGTACCAACATAACACATCTGTACAGGAAAATTTTGTCCATTCTTCTTTTCTTCAATAGCTCAACCTAGGTCTAACTAGAGAGTACAATGAACAACAGTGCTTAAATTTTGCCAC